CTTTAGTCCATTGAGGACACGTCATAACTTTCGAAAATTTAACTCCATTGTGCGAATACTGAGAGCGCGGTATCGTCTGGATGTAGTTTAAACAGTCAGATCAGTCCACATTCTTTCAAAGATATGGCAAAATTATGCCAATCCCACCAATTTCTGAAGTTTTGGTTTCTTGCACCTACACACAAAACTAATGATGGAGGTTTGGAGACGTGAATAACCTCGAAAATGCGCTTCTTAGAGAGATTTTCCTTTGACCAAATTCTATTTTTTTTTAAAACAAAACACTCACTGTACTGTAGCCTATTACTAAGGTATGCTTTTTTGACGCACTGCGTGGGACAGTTTGGTTAACTGGAAAACACTGACGGACACTTGACTACAATGACTTCGGATTTGTCCTGGCGTCTGACAGTGTAGGACGCTTCATAAAATTTACTGGACTAATTCTGCAGTGGATGGGAGGAGGCCTTGTCATGCGCGTCGGTACTTGTATGTAACGGACAAACGCGGTTCAGTGTTGCAGAAACGAAAGTCATATCTAATTATAGTGGAACCATATGGCACAATATTCTACAAGTGGGTCCCTCCAAGAAGAACGTTATCCGACCGAAAGGTGGCTTTTGTGGCCCGGAAAAAAATCCGCTGAACTATCTTTACAAACTTATGAGAGACGAGCACACCGAAATAAAACAAGATAATACCAGTTAAGGTTCAACTCAGTTGAATGCCGTACAAAATAGCCGTTGCCAAAATGCCTAATGTCGTATTATCTGAAGCAATGGCAGTTTTTTATGAAAGCGAATTCAGCTTGTTTGTTCGGCAGTTTACGTTGGGAGTTAGACATGTTTTACCCGCGAAGATACTAGTGATAGGGATGCCGACTTCATTTGCTAACAAAGTAAACTCTAGCTCCCGACTCTACGACTCTTGAGTCTACGTTTTTGAAACCATCATGTTACTGTTCTTCATTGAGAATCAGACTTTCGATTCGCTATGCAAATAACCCACTGCGTCATGTCAGCTTCTCCTAACGTGACCGGGCCATATGAAACTTTCTTGAGCATCTTACACTGTATCCCCTCAATGTTCACAATCTGAGCACTTTGCTACATTCCAGAAGCGGCTACTGTCATGAATTCACAAACATGAAGCGAAAGCCCGAAATCTATCTCTCCATGGAATCATCCCAAATTCGATAATTTAACCAGGATGAGTTGTGCTATAATAAGCTGCTCAACCACGCAATAAATGCTGCTACAGTGTTTCGCTTTTTTCTCTCAATGTTCTTCCTCTCCAGTGAACATGAATGGCTTGTGGGGGAGTGTTGTGCAGTGTTTTTCAGCTTTAACATGATGTGGTCCAGGTTTACACGACAAAATTCTGTCTGAACGTTTAAAATTTTTTATTAACAATTCAAGGTCCAAACTTTTTAACACTTCAAGGAGACATCGTTTTAGCAATCCATTCGAGAGCTGTAGAATATGATTTCTGTATTTTTTTACAGCATTCCATCCATTAGGCTAGAATCATAGCTCTACTCATGCGGTAAGTGAGGCTTCTCTGTGTGCCATCAGACAACAGTTCCTTGGTAGAAAGTTGATATTTCACTTGAGTACTCAATTTGTTGACTCTAGCGGTGAGAAGATAAATTTAATTCTGACCTATGCACAGAATGGAACCGGTTTAAATGAGGTTACTAATCAGCGAATATCATCCATGACGAACAAGCTCAGCCACGTTAGGGACTGTCCACCACGGTGAACAAAACACCATATCCGATTGATCTTCTAATCTTTCATTCAAAAAAAGATACATAATTTAAAAAAAATGCCACCGAAGTCATCTGCTTATAGAAGCTATGGTCTTATGGTTTTATAAAAGGAATATCGCGTTGAGTGCTGACAGACTGTAAAATGCTAGTAAGGCAACCCAAGACTGGGTGCAAAAATCAATAAATTTTGGAAAATTCGACGTCCGCGATTAGAAGCCACTGATATGCAGTGTTTTGGATATTTATTGAAAATATTTTGTAGAGTTTCTGCTTCGTGGTCTCACCATGCACACAAGTATTTTAGCTCATTTACTGTGTTGCTTCCGTGGAACGCGGTCGATCAAAATGCCACGAAAACTTCGAACAATGGCATATATCAACCATGTACCCCTAGTCTAATAATCGCTTATCTAATGAACAGGTTATCATGATATGCAGCACCAAAGTCCCAACGTTTTTGTGTTGCCATTTCATCGGTAAAGTGGAAAAAACAATCGCTTGGTGTTCTGTATTAGGAATAGATAGCTTTCCTGTGTCTGGTTCACGCTAGCGACATTCGCATCGTGCATATATGATGTTTTGGACCTAAATAGCCTAACTTAGTGACCAAGGCTAGTGTGAACTTCGTTTTTTAGATCGGGCAAACTTAAGGCCAAGTCAGCTAGACAGGTGAAACTCATCGAAAATCTTTCCTTTGAAGTTCTTGCTGCTAGAAAAGCTCAGATAGGTTGGAGACACCACTCTATAAGTCTACCACAACAGGCGTGCCACTGAGCAGTTGGAACCAGACTTGTAGAGAGTTAGGGACTGCTCCCGAGTTAGTAGTCAGAAGTAGTCAGTAAGTATTCGGGTAGACTAGCATCTTCCGACCCATTAGCCTAAGGCCGTGGTCGTGACACTTGTAGCTTTGAAGAAAAGTGTCAACATCCTGAATGACTAGCAATGGTTGTCTTTGAGTGCTTGAACGCAAGAAACGGACCACTTACGACAAGAGTGATGTATTCCGAGAGGTCACGCCAACTTCGAAGGATCAAATCTTTCCCTCCACACTAAGAAGAAAAACGGATAGAACGTATTAATTGGAAAAATTCATTGTTAATTCCAGAAACATGCTAAAAGATGGAAATTCAGAAAATCCCAGTCTGATAGGACTAATGGTTCAGCTTGTACCATGTAAGAAGCGTGTTACGCCTGGAGGAGAATATCCGAATGGTTGTTTACAACTGATGCGGACTAACCTCTCAATGATTTGTTTTTAAAACTATGCTTGATTAGAATGGATGGCAAGGGCTATTGCATAATACAGCGCCAGTTTTAAGTCTTGTCCGTGGAGGTGACTATCATGATGCTGCTGATGGTGAAATGGGTGTACATATTATATATATATATATGTATATATAAACATATTCATGAACTTGTCATATGCCTGAGTAACGGGTAGAACGGACGCAGTTGACCTTCAGTAGGAGCTTAACCCTTGAAGGCTGGCCCTCACCGCATGCAACATTTCGGTTATCAACCTGAAATTGCTAAACGGGACGTTTAAAGCTTGAACTGGGACAAATGTTCCTCTAACTTCTGAGAGTCGAGACTAGCGAGTGTACTTGTTAGTGGTGTGGAGAGCAAAAAACCACTATCATGCACGCAGCTAGTCAGATCCATAGCGACATGTACACGGAAAAACATATAATATAGGGACACGCTGTTGTTCGTCCCATCAGTTTTTAGACTGCAATTTTCTGTCATCCTTTCAGCATGTTTATACTGAGCTTGGGATCAATACGAACCAGTATTGTTTTGGTATCATTCATTCTAAACTACTCGCCGCAGGCCGGACATTTCAGAACCTGAGTGACCAAAGCACAAGCAGGGACTTCGTGGGGAATGTGGACGCAACAATCTTTTGAGACACAATGCTCAAGCTTGGCTCTCTGGTATGCCTAGAGGAGAAAATTGTTAAGAACAGGATTTCCTGAACATTAGATATCGCCTTCCGTCTTTACACCCTCCCTAAATTTTTAGCCCAGACAATCACAGGGTGGCAACCCTTATTGTGCTTTCCAGAGTTGACCTACCAGACGAGACAAACCATATTGACGGCCTAAATGGAATTTGTCTTCGTCAGAACCACTAGGAACTATCATTTACAAATTCAGGAGATGTTATATTTCACCGAGTGCAAATTTTCAGATCTGGCCGCATCTGAAATTTGGAATAACTGTTCACCTGGTTCGAGAATGAACACCAGTTTCTGTTTCTCTCTTTCAAATAATTTAAGCTCGAAACCAATCCATTTTTACTGCTACGGTTTCCTCGTGGTGAATCTCTAGGCGGTTGACTCTTTGTTGGATTGTCGTGCGTTTTTCAAAGTGAGGAATGGAATGAAACCAGAATAACAGCAATGGCCACTGCTTCACATGTCTTACAGTGCATGAAAATGGCAAACAAATATACAATAAACACTTAGAATACTGTCTTAGGATGTGAATGTGGAAATTTATGTGATGAGCATATGTTGGTCCCGAAATTGTGAGCTCAGTATAATGTTGGGTTTTGTATTGTACACTTGGTCGGTAGCGGGAGTGCAATCCACTGTGTTTTGTCCTGATGTAGACCCTGTAGCAGAGTTTTCTCTCTCGATGTTCTGGCCCAAATTTACCCTTTGCGGGACGCAACTGCTTATTCCGTTTATGCTCTAAAATCTTTTAGCTCACAGTTTGGTAACCATCAAATCCCCCTTGAAGAGTGCAAGCTTTTAGGAGTAGTTATCTGGTTTTTCGACGTATGATTTAAAAGAAACGGTAAGTTCCAAAGTGATATTCTATTCAAAAGGGATACACTGGATGGACCAAATAAGAGCAAAACCCATTGTTTCATGACGAACGACGAATAAATTCCATAAACGTGGATTCATCAAACCTGATTTTAGAACCAGTAGCTAGTCCCTAAAACAACTAAACATTCTTGGGCCATCAAACTATCGAAAAAGTTAATATCTCGTTGTAATTTTTCACATTTACCGAAGTGGGCATCCACTTTCGAAATTCCCTTGATGAGAGTAAGCTACAAACGACCGGAATATGGTCCAGCTCGGTAACTCCCCAAATAATTTTCCAGCCAGCCTTTGTAGTTCTTGGAAATACATCAAACATCATTTCTTCTACGGAGAGACAGGGAGTAAAAAAAAACTGCAGTATTCTATTCTAGCTGAGGTAATAAATGTACTTACCCCTGCGTAGAACATTTTGTTTTTCAGGCGGCTGTTAAACTTTTCCGGATTAGCCTCTACAAATCGAAAATGGGCAACTGTTCAAAAACATTGATGCATGAAAGCGGAGAATATTGAACCAAAGGTTCCTGTTCGGTATGTGCCCAAGATTCATGGGCTTCCAGATTAGAGCTCAGACCAGACTTGCATGAGAGAGTGCATGATGGGATAGAAATGTTTTATCCTTAGGCTGAACTCAAAGCAGTGAAACACAAGAACGAAAAGAACGACGATTAAAAAGCAAAACTGCTTGGTGCGCAGAGCACCTACTTGAGCAGAGGCAGAATACCAGCATCGCGAATAACTTTTTGGATTTCAATCAATTGGAAAATGTTTCGGACCGATTGGGTAGTCATCGTTTTAGAGGTTTGGTATACAATCGGTGGATTTATTGCTGGCGACGTTTCAACGTTGGACACAAAAGCTTCCTTAGGCCAAGTGAGTAAGCAACCAGGTCGATCGGGTTTTAAGACAGTAAGGGAACCAGTTCGAGAGATTTCTTATGATGAGCCGACTTGATAAGTACTGGGTGTCGGTTTGACGTTTTTGTTTGTTGGTTGGTGGAGATGACTGGATTCGCGGCCTTGCTTTTCCGGTCCAGGACATCTTAATGGAATATTCCTTTTAGGGGCCATTTACAAAGGTTGTTCGCCTGTGTTCGTCGGTGAGTGCCGGGACAATTTGTTTTGGGTTGCCGGGTGGTATGGTTAGCTGGATGCTATCCTGATTGAATTTTGTACTTTTAGACCCAGACCATCTTGCTGACAACTGCACATCGCCTTGTGTCATCTTGGCTGATTTAAAACCGCTCTTTACATGCTTGCCAGTTCTACGCCCTCTGTTCTGTCCACGCTGAGATGCTTGGCGATTTTCACTGCCTCAGCCACAAGTCACTGTTATGTGAATCTTAGTCCTCGGCTCAGAATGTCCACATTTTCTAATTTTATGCTGTGTTCAGTGTCTGGTGCATACCCTGCCATCGCCTGATATTTATCTACGACTTTCAGTGGAGTGTTAATGCACTTCTTATGCTCATCGATTCTGGTGCGTCATTCCCTGGCTCTCTGACCTATACAAGCCTTTGTAAAGTGCACACAGCTCCTAGTCCTACCAACCAGAAGGTGATCCTTCAACTGCACAAAAACTGAGTGTAAAGTCTTCATCTT